TAAGGAAAAAGCGAAGACGGCCGTTTTAATAAGAAATATCTATTGAAGAAGAGTATTTATAAGTAAATACCTTTTCTCCCAAAATTGCAGACCATTAGCCGCATCAAACAGGAAAACGACACCCTTGCACCCAGATCGACGCACAAAAACTCAAGAACCTGCCAGTGCAGACATACGTTGCGACTGGAGGTCAAGAAGCACGATGTAGAAAGCGGAAAGCATATAGAACCGGCGGGGTGTTTGAGAGGAACCGATTACAAATCAGAACAATCACGAATACTTGGCTGGCACTTTTGCAAGGAAGAAGGCTCATTAAATGCGAAGATGTTGCCTTGGTTCTGTCTGAACTATACGGGACTAAATGGAGCACGGGAACCATTCATGTGCTATGTCACGAAAGCCTACTCAGTACAGCAGTAGCAGCCGGTGTATCCAAACATAAACGGTTTATCGCTAGACTGCGAATTCATGTCTGTGCATAAAGTTAAATCAATGTTGAGTGTAGGGCGGTGTCTGAACTCGCCGCGGTGCATGGAGAGAGCCGAGTTAGTACGACGCTTCTCGACTTTCTGAGTCACCTTTAAGGGAAATAATGGCTGAGTGTAGGGTAGTGTCTGAACTGACCTCGTTGCGTGGTGAGAGAAGGACTGGTAGGATCGCTTCTCGGTTGTCCGAGTTAAGAAGATCAAGGAATGCGCAACTTCTCTGAGCCAAGTTTAAGGCAAGTAAATACGCGTATACACCTCGATACCGGTAGGTATCCGAAGTGTTACGATCGGTTCTCGACTCTGTAAACTAAAGTCATGGGAGGTGTGGCCTGAGTGCAGTGAAGTGTCTGCATTCGCCTAGATACACGAAGGGAACCGGAGTGGTATGATCGCTTCTTGACTCTCTGATCACATCTCAAATCAAGTAAATGCGCACTGCGAAGTAGTATCTGCATTAGCTCCTATAAGGGTAGGGAAGCATAATGCTACGACCGCTTCTCAAAACTCTGAGTTGGATGCCGCCAATAGCTCACAGGAAGGTGTTGTCTGCACAGGCCGCGTTACACAGAGTGTTTAATAAACGAACACCATAGTAGAAAGTTCTATGTAAGATGGTTTACTTAGATTCATACCAATCGTAGGTTAAGATAGACAAGAGTGCCTACTTCACACACTCGTAACATAAATATGCAGATTTTGACTAGTTCCTGCTTATAACCATTTGTCACACAACCGAGAATTTCCGCGACTTAAAATGTGAAGAGGCTCATTGCTGTTTTATGCGGTTTTGCGTAAATACGACTCAGGTTGCAATAGAAACGACAACGCCCATGTCATTTTGATTACTTTTCGCAACTAACGAGATGACTACAGTTTCTCAGGCAGGACTAATCGCACAGAAATATACAACGTAAATAGACGAATGTATACGAAGAAGTTTTTCCCCATCAAACCACACTCCTTTGACCTACCTATGGGGGACGCCGTCAATTTTTAAAGCTTTTTGAAAAATTGCAAGTTCAGTATTTGACCGTCACCCTAAACGAAAGATTGGAAGGTCAGGGATGCTTTATTTTTCCATTTGTCTGACCTCAGAAGTTCGAGACTATGGACACTGTCAAATGAGAAATTGGGTAACGGCTGTTGTCGAGACTTTGCCTCAATAAGCTCCCCCCCCCACAGTTTGTACTGGGTGTCTGGGCCTCTATTTCACTCTATATATGCCAGTTACGTGTATACGGTGGTTCGTCTTACAGCAAAGGCGGTATTACATAATTTCTGAGGATGTCAACCGAAATATTGTTTATGATGCTTGGACTTCTTGGACTACCATTCGAAAATCACGGCTGTGGATGGCAAAACAAAATAAGTAAGTTTAGCAAAAATCAGAAGTAAATTAAATGAAGATTTCAAATCTGACCTTTTCTATGCCAATTGTTTTCGTGCGTGTTTTTTTTAAGTCCGCAGCCTTGTTTGCTATGCCATATATAAATGCGCTTGAATCTGCGCATCGGGTAATTCTTTATGATGACGTAAACGGAAAAATCCCTTGCGTATGTCTGCTGTAGTTTACATAGGAACAAATGGATACAATAAGCGTTAATCGACTGAATGACTAGTAATGTTGAGTTAAGCCTGTAACGTGCACCATCCTACCTATTTTATTTGTTAATATACTTTCTTAAGAGCAGCATTGCTATTGGCAACTCTAAACACACTTCTGTTGACGCACAGTTAGCGTTCCGTTAACAACCTCCATTCGAATGAAGACGTTACATGTGTATCATAGATGTTATTTTGCTGATTAAGAAGTTCAATTTTTGGAAAAACGAAAATTTCGAAAGCATGAAAATTCACTTTGCCTGTTTATGCAAATAACGAAATCAATAAAATAATATAAGCAGGGTGTTGCTTAAACGTTGCTTTAAGTACACTTTCAGTTAATATCCTCTAAGAGGCAGAACTTATTTTTTTCTTTATATTGCAGTCTTTATCGTTAACTTCGTTTAAATTTGGGTTTCGTTCTACAATTACAAACGCATAGGTAAGTGGCCGTACAAATGGTAACATATTGCTCAAGCTGTCTGCGTTTGGTCCGTCTCGTTTTTAGGGTTTACTTAAGCGAAGATTGGGCCGCACGAAAATTAAATCGACTATTCGGTGATGGCCAACTTGGCGGTTTCCCATAGTGTTTTTAAAAAGGATAAGCCAATGTCAGCAAATTTAAATGATGGGTTGCCTGTAGGTATTATTATATGCACTTTAAAGAGCCAAGTAGTACAGGTTTGCAAAGCTGAATTTTAAAAAATGGAAAAAAAAGCCTGTTTTCCGTAAAGTAACCTGTTTTTTCAAAACCTGCATTACAAGGCCGGCGCCGTGCAAAAATCACTTCTCAAGTGCGGAAAGTCATGTTTGGTAAAACTTTCAAGGGTATCTCACTCTCCTCTAAAATAAGTCTCTCCCAACTGTGTAAACCAAGTTCAGGACAGTCATTGTTCCAACACT